ATGGCAGAGAAACATTTGAAGAAATGCTCAACCTCATTAGCCATTAGGGAAATGCAAATCAAAACGACCCTGAGATTTCACCTTACACCCATCAGAATGGCCAAGATCAAAAACTCAAGTGACAACACATGCTGGAGAGGTTGTGGAGAAAGGGGAACCCTCCTCCACTGCTGGTGGGAATGTAAACTTGTACAACCACTCTGGAAATCAATCTGGAGCTTTCTCAGACAACTAGGAATAGCGCTTCCTCAAGATCCAGCTATACCACTCCTAGGCATATATACAAAAGAGGCTCAAGTACACAATAATGACATTTGCTCAACCATGTTCATAGCAGCTTTATTTGTAATAGCAAGAACCTGGAAACAATCCAGATGTCTCTCAACTGAAGAATGGACACAGAAATTGTGGTACATCTACACAATGGAATATTACTCAGCAATGAAAAACAAGAAAATCGTTAAATCTGCAGGTGGGATCTAGAAAAGATCATCTTGAGTGAGCTATCCCAGAAGCAGAAAGACACACACAGTATATACTCACTCATATACACATATAATATAGGATAATCCTACTACAGTCTGTACACCTAAAGAAACTAATCTAGAGGGAGGACTCTGGCTAAAATGCTCAATCCCATTGCGAAAGGCAAATAGGATGAACATCAGAAGAAGAAGAAAACAGGAAACAAGTTAGGAGCCTCCCACAGAGGGCCTCTGAAAGGCTCTGCCCTGCAGACTATCAAAGCAGACGTTGAGACTTATGGGCAAACTTTGGGCAGAATGCAGGGAATCTTTAAATTAGTTTTGATTATTATAATTTACTCACTTTGTATCCCAGCTGTAGCCTCTCCTTTGTCCCCTCCCAATCCTACCCTCCCTCCCTCTTCTCTTCCCATGCCAGTCTACTGATAGGGGAGGACCTCCTCCCCTTCTGTCTGACCCTAGTCTATCAGGTCTCATCAGGACTGGCTGCATTGTCTTCCTCTGTGGCCTGGTATAGCTGCGATCCCCCAGAGGGAGGTGATCAAAGAGCCAGCCACTGAGTTCATGTCAGATACAGCCCTTGCTCCCCTTACTAGGGAACCCACTTGGGGACTGAGCTGACATGGGCTACATCTGAGCAAGCGGTCTAGGTTATCTTCATGCATGGTCGTTGGTTGGAGTATTGGTCTTTGCAAAGACCCCTGGGCATAATCCATAGTCTTGATGACATCTCTCTTTTTCATTCATATTTATAATTTATACTTCGCTGACTTTCAAAATGAGTTACAGATAGTGATTTTAGTTTGTAAAATAAATCTTAGTTACGGTTGTATACAAAGACATACTGTGATTTTTTTTTTCCTCTTTGTAAATGACTATAAGGAATTTGATGTTGAGCTTTGAAGTATTTCTAATTTGCCTAGGCAAACAAGTCTACTCTTTAAGATTTCCTCTGTGATTAGTAAACAGAAGAGTACGCTAGTCTTAAAAGTTAGAATAGCATTCTTTTAGGCAGCAATTAGTGGGTATTGATTATTTTGCTCTTGTGTATAATAATTACTTACCTAACTCTGCCTGGGTAAGATTGGTATTTATGATGGATATTTCAGTGAAGAACACAGCTTACAAATTAACTGCTAGACACGTACGTGTACATAAATAAACATGTACACAGGCATAGGAGGAGAAGAGTGTTTGTCCTGACCCAAAGAGAGGTCTGACCTTTTCCCTATGGGTAGTTACAGCATTATACTTGAGGGATGTGTGTTTGCTTTCTTGTTTAGTGAAGGGACAGGTTACACTGGTTAGTGTTAGGGAGTGGGTTGGCCTGGCCCAGGAAGACAGACCAGTCATGCCATTTAGTGTGTGGGCTTAGGGCCTTCTGCTTACAGTCCAGGTCACTTGAGTTCAGTTACATGAGCAGTGCATCATGCCGATGTACAGTCACCTCACTAAAACCTCTGCAAGCTGAAACTTTGTGAACGTCCTTCCGTGCTACCTTGTTACCTGTGGATAGTGAGAGAGTGAAGTAGCCCAGCTCCATGGGAAGGGACAATGAAAGTTCCAGATTTGGAAGCCCCTCAGACACTGTCCTGCATATTTTTTCTAGTGTCTTATTTTGATGCATATCCTTTTAACTTTATTTCAGAATTTGAATATAACAGGTTTCCGTAAATTCCATGAATGCTTATAGTAAATTTTTGAACCTAAACGTGGCTTTTGGAACATTCCAAGTTTGGTGTTGGTGTCAGAATTGGGTACATTCTTGAGCCTTGTGTTTATATAAACCACAAACAGAGTACGTTATCAGACAGCCTCCTAGGAAGCAACATGAAAGTGTCAAGTAATAGAAGAATGATAAAATTAAGCAAAATCAGGCAAGATGAGGAAGGAGAAAGTTTTAAGGTCTGCTAGAAACATTACCTAGTTTGGAATTGTTGGAAGCCAGGTCAGAGAAAGGAACACAGGAGAGTGGCTACTGCGAAGTTCCGGAATTGGATAACATTTTCCAAGAGCACACTCAACACTGGTGTCCCCATTCACCAGTGAGGTCCTGTGTGACCCAGGAGGCTAAGCTCTCCTTAGCAGTCTGCTGCTTCCTGTGAGGGTCCTTTCTTCTGGTCTGCTTTGGTTCCTTTTAAGTTCTTACTTTGACAGTTTAGAAGAGAATGTTTTTTCATGAGGAAAGAACAAATTGAAGAGATGAGAAAGCGGAAGAGACAGTAGAGGAATAAACAAAACCTGCTTTTCTTTTTCCCATTCTTACAGCGGGAAATGATGTCTCCTTTCATGTCACTATAACTTAAATATCATACTACCTTTTTTTTTTTCTTGCCGAATTGTGTGGTTGTAAAAGGCAAGAAATAAGCTTGTTGTTTCTCTTATTTAACCAAGCAAAAACAGAAAGTAACATTGGTTAAATGCCTCCTGTATAATGCATCATGTAATTTGTGAATGTCATATGTAACCACTTCAAATAAACATGAATTTATAAACATATGCTTTCATACATATTAATATTTATGATTTTTTATGACTGAATAAAACTGATGAATCACTTTTTTAGTGAATCCTAATTACTACAGTGATCTTATACCACAGTCTTTCATAAAAATACACAAGCTCTTTTTTCTTCTTATTCCTTTTGCTTTTAAATTGTGTTGTACTTTTCCTCATCAGATTTTATCCTTGGGTAATTCATTTTACATATAAACATTTCATGAATATTGATCACCGTATATTTCTGCAATAAAAATATGTATGTAAATTTAATTCTAAAGTCATTACATTATATTTTTCACATAGTAAAGCCATACAAATTCATTAAAGTGGGAATAATTCAATGAAAGAAAATACAAAGATCAGAAATACATCTATTAAATAAGATGGTGAAACTATTTGTAAAACTTTTGTTCAATTGGTTTAATCTTTTGAGTCTAAATAATATTTACTGCTGCAGTCAGGTAGTGTTCTGGTTTGTCATGTGTATACGTGTTACTGGGAGGTTTTTTTTATGTGCATTTGTGTTTTGCTGCATGTATGTCTGTGGGAGGGTATCAGATCTTGAAGTTACAGACAGGAATTGAACCTGGATCCTCAGAAAGAGCAGTCAATACTCTGAATCGCTGAGGTATCTCTCCAGCCCGGTACTGGGAGTTGAGCCCAAGATTTTGTCAGCTGTAGGCTAGTTTTCAAGCCTAACCTTTTCCTTCAAAATTTTTAGAGACAGCTAAGTTTGCTCACTTAGACCTGCTTCTGCCTCCTTATTGCTAAGATTATAGACAAATAATCTATAGATTAAAGAAAAAATAGATTATAGAAAATTCTATAGATTATAGAAAAAAGACTACTTTTTTCTCCCCAGTACAATTATGTTAGCTCAACAGTCTGTTCCCACTGCTCTTTGGATTGTAATAGAATTTTCAGCATTGTCAGTTATTTGAATTCTATCCTAAAAATTACACATGAGCTTATTATTTGATTAGCCTCCTCAGTATTCTTGAAAGCAAAACTTAGAAACAGCACCCGGTTAGCTGGTTACATCATTTGAGACATGGAATTCTGGGAGGTATACTTTGAAAAGCTACTAAGGCTCTTTGCCTTTCACCTCCCCTGAACACACAATGCTGGGAATAAAACCTAGAGCTTCATACAAGTTAGATGCAGTCATTTATATTTATGTGGGTTAACTGAGGTGACACATGTCCCATCCTGAATGTGGATGGTAGTGTCCTATGGTTTGAGGACCTTTACCACATAAAAAGGAGAAAGCTAGCTGAGCATAAGCATTTGTCACTCTCTACTTCCTGTGGATGCAATGTGACCAGCAGCCTTTTACGCTTACTGCCATGCCATCCTCAACATGATGGACTTCCTCAGATTGTGAGTCAGAGTGAACCCTTCTTCCTTCAGTTGTTCTGGTGAGGTGTTTTTGCCGTAGTGACTAACACTCAGAAAAGTGTTTTGTAATTAGCTGGATTACACTCATTATTGGTCTTTTGGTTTTATTTTTGAGACAGGGTTTCTCTGTGTAGCCTTGTCTATCCTGGACTCACTTTGTAGCCCAGGCTGGCCTCGAACTCAGAGATCCACTCTGCCTCCCAAATGCTAAGATTTAAGGCGTAGGCCATAACACCTGGTTCTCATTATAGGTCTTTTTTCTCAGGATGTCGTGTTTACCTGAGTATTTCACAAAGTGTTAGGGAAGAGTTGATACTGTTAATTTCAATATAGCTATGTCAAGTGTTTTTTTCTTGATAAATTGTTTTAAACAGTTATGAATAAACATCTATTCCAAAGTAATCATTTCTTAGGACATTGTCTCATTTCTGCCGTTTCTGGCAAAACTGGTGGTGTCTTATCAGTTAAGTCATAGGCATCTAACAGGATTGTGGTATTCATTTCATATTCAGATAGACTACACTAAATTTGATTGGGTTAAATGTAGTCAGATGTCTAATTGAGACAAGTCTGTTTGCATATTTACCTGACTAGTGTGTTGTTTATGTGTTATAGGTATTCTCTGAAACCAAATGATCAGATCTTGGCTGAAGACAAGCACAAGGAATTGTAAGTTCATTCAACCTCAGTTTACACAGTTCACTCTATGAAGCAGATGTTTGTAAGCCACTTGATTTAAACATTATTTATATTATAGACATTATATATGTAAAGTAACACTATCATTTATATATATGTAACACTATAGCTATACTACATATATATACATGTAAGTAACACTATCATATATGTAAGAAACACATCATTTCTTTTTCTTCCCCTAGATAAAACAAAAAATTCATGGTTAATTTTGTAGTTTTATTTAGTACTTTTTCTAGCACTTGCTAAAGATGAGGAAACATGATTTTATTTTTTTTATAGCTTTATACAAAAGTAAATACTTATCCATTGTTTAGTATAAAGTAAAATACTTCAAACATGGAGCTTGAAATGTCATTGCTTTAAAATTTTTTAATGTACTTCTTTTAGAATTCTATTTTTTCACTTTTGAGAAAATGGGATGCTGGGATATTTTCTATGACATTTTTCTGCTGGAAGGTAGTATTTAAAAGATTGCCATCTGACAAGGACTGTCAATATTTCAGTTGCAAATGATAGGCTTGGGAAGTTTGAAACTTACGTCAGTCTTTTATGTATCTGGAAGCTTTAAAATTTTTATATGCTTCTAATTTTTTTAAGCTGGTCTATTTTTTTCCTCGTTTTCAGTAAGAGAAATACTGGTAATGTTGACTATTATATAAACAGCCAACATCAATACTGTAAAAGGAAGAATTGGAGGACTTTGATTCTAATTTTATCCTTAGGTTGCACCAGGCTACTTATTCTGCATATTAATTAGGTTTCTGTCCTAATTTATAGGTATGTTGATTTTCCAAGGTGCCTTGGACATTTTCTTAGTGTACTAGATATACTTTCATATTAAAGACATTTTATTTATTTATGTAGAGAAAAGTTCTCCTTTTGTAGTTTAGTCTGTCAAAGTATCACAGTGTTCCCAGAGTGATTCTGAGCTCAAGGTAACCTTCTGCCTGCCAGGTGCTGGGATTGTGGGTTGTAGAAGAGAGCCACAGCACCCTGCAGCCATTTTATCTTCATATTTCCTTAATTTAGTCTTCATCTGTAGACTCATGTACATGCACACTGTACCCTGTTTGCCATGTAATAGTTTAATCATTTGCTATTTCAGTTTGTTTTAATGTCTACTTAGAAGTTGGTTAGCTGTCCGAGATACAGCTCACCTCTTTGCTTAGAGCTTGACTAATGATTTTTTTCTTGTAATTTATTATGAAAGAACGTTTGTAACATTTAATTTTACCTGATATATAAAAATGTAATTATGGGAAAATTAAACATTTACTCTACATTGACCCACCTACTCACCATATAGATTTTATTATTTATGTTTTATTGTGCTTATTTATCACCTTCGTGTTTTGTCCACTCATTAATTTGTTTATTTATTTAACTTTGGATTCATTTTAAAAATAAGTTTCAGATGTCAGAATACTTCCCCCTAAATTAAGAGTTCTTGTTGTTGTTCTAAATTTGCTTATATTAGAAATTTAAGTAAGTAAAATCATATATATGACTTTTTTATGTTAATATACGACCCTTTATTTCCTCCTCTTTTTCTTCATTTCTTCTTTTCCCTCTGTCATCCTCTTTTGGCATAGATGTTCTCTATGTAGCCCTAGTTGGGTTGGAATTCCCTTTGCCTACCATGCTGGCTTTGAACTCACAGAGATCTATCTGCTTGTGCTTCTTGAGTACTGGTGTGACAGCCATGCTGGGCAGTTTGTTTTTTAGATAGATCATTATTGTTGCATGTGTCGTTTAATTCCTTTTAAATACTGATTAGTAGGCATTTTTTGGTCTCTTTGTTCATCTATTTATTTATGTATCTATTTATTTATTTATTTATTTATTTATTTATTTATTTATTTATTTATTTATTTATTTTCTGTTTTGAGACAAGGTTTGTCTGTGTAGCCTTGACCATCCTAGAACTCACTCTGTAGACCAGGCTGCCCTCAAATTCAAACAGATCTTCCTGCCTCTGCCCTCCTGAGTGCTAGGATTAAAGGTGTGCCCTACCACTCCAGGTTTTAGTATGGCATTTTGGTCTGAATAGTTTATCTGTTCTGTATTGATAAATATTGGTAGTTGGGTGACTTTACTTTGATTGTTTTCTCTCATGTAGTTTTTTGAGCTATATACTAACAAAAACTCCCAATTGAATATGAATAGAACCTGATTTATCAACAGCTCTTCATGAAAGATGTTTATAATAATCTCATTTGTGTCTTTGAAATTTAAATAGCCAAGAATCTCACAGAGAAGGTAGAAATGCTCTTCACCTTAGTTTGATTGGTACTGATTGTATGCATTATTGAATTATTGAATTTTACTATATTCCCTATAAAGATGAAAAAGATGTTTTATATCTGTTAAAAAGGATAGCCCAAATCTCTGTGCTCAAGTCAAAGGTTTTAAAAGACCTGGAATACAGATATAACACAGATTTTTGGCTGAGAAGACAGCCCAGTCAGTGAAGAACTTGCCAGGCACAAGCACCTGAGTGTGAACTCTGGAACACACGGACACAAGCACAGTGTGTTCCTGTAGCTGTTCTAGCAGTGAGAGGTACACAGCAGAACTCCCTGAAGCCTGTGGGACAGCACGCTTGCTGTATGCAGTGGCGAACCCAAAAGAGAGACCCTGCTTAAAACAAGATGGGATGTGAAACCAACACCCAAGTTGTCCTCTGACCTCCACATGTTTGCTGTGGTATACATCCACTTACACACATGTAAAGTAGATACATAGACACATACATTCATACATGTGTACACATACTCCAAAACAAAGCAGAAAACCCTAAAATGTAATTATCTAATTAATGAGGCATATGTTATTCTCATAAAACACTAATATTGATTCTTACATTCAAAATAATCTTGACTCATCATGATATTCCAAAAACATCAGTGGATACTATTATATTAGCTCATCTATCTACAGCTTACCCTGATTCAATGTATACAAACAGAAGCTTCCACTATACTGATAGTTGGCATTGCTTTCTGTAGAATAACTATGTTTTTATTAAGCATAGACTTAGTTTCTAAAATCTTATGATTCGAATTCCATGAACAGTCACTCATGCTTCGTGGAGATTCTCTGCAACCACTTTCTGGAAAACCCACTTGCCACACTGGGAAAAAAACTGGTCAGTAGAGACATTTGTTTCTCTAAGCAGAATGATTCTCCTTGTTTCCATACACTGGATATTCTACTTTAGGGGATGGTTTTAAGTTAGTGAAGTGGAGTGATTACAGTTGTGATGTGATTAATCCAAAACTGGGGGCTTTGTGCTTGGCTCTGTGAATAATCCCATAATGAAATTGTTTTTTAGTGTTTTGTGTTTGTTTGCTTATTTTTCAAACTCCATTCCAAGTGTAGTTTTATAAGTGGAATAGCTTAAATAAGAAAAATGTTTTTCTAAGTGTTTTTTTTTCCCCCCCGCTTGTACCAGTTACTGTGTGTAAGCATAACACATCTGTGGAAAAGTACCTGAGAACCAGTTTAAAGGGAGAGTGGTTTATTTTGGCTCAGAGACTCAAGAGACTTCAATAGGTTCAGGGTGGCTTCATCACTGGGTGTGCTGTAAGGGTGTGGTAGAGGAAAGTGTTCTACAAGCAGAGATAGAGACAGACATCAAGATGGAGACAGAGGGATGAGAGAAGGAAGGAGAAAAAGATGGGAGAGAGGAAAGGAGAGACAGAGAGAGGACACTTAGGACACATTTCTTTTAAGAGCACAGCACTTCCACCCAGGCCCCACATCTTCCTGCTTTGTATCACGTCTCAGTAATGCCATTAAATTCTTAATCCATTGGCAGGGTAGCACACATAGTAAGACATTGCTCCCATGATTCCTTCATTATCCAAAGTCTCACTTTTGAACATTGTGTTAATGACCAAGCATTAACAAATGCCAGGGCCTGGAAAGTTCTATTTTTTTTTTTTAAGATTTATTTATTTACTATGTATACAATGTTCTGCCTACATGTGAGCCAGCAGGCCAGAAGAGGGCACCAAATCTCATTATAGATTGTTGTGAGCCACCATGTGGTTGCTGGGACTTGAACTCAGGACCTTTGGAAGAATAGCCAGAGCTCTTAACTTCTGAACCATCTCTCCAGCTCTGGCAGTTGCATTAGATATCAAAGCCATATCATTTTACTAGGCACTATTCAAAAATTCTATGTAGTTTTACATATCTATCATATCTCAATACAGTTATTGTAAATAGAGACTTAAGAATAGTTTTTTTATTTTTGGACAGATCTGCAATGGAAGAAGAAAGCACCATTTTAAACACATTCATTTTATAAATATATAAATTTTATATTGCTTTGAATATGAATAGTATATTAATATATGATCATGAAGATTCATGTAAGAAAAATTAATAGTTTCTAAAGTTATTAACAAAAACTTGTCCATACTACTTTATAGAGATAGACTAAACTTGATAGCTGAAATAATTTTTTTTTTGCCTACTTTGTTATATTTTACAAAGCAGGGGGAAAAAAATCTCTCTTTACGGGACTTAGCTTTATTTGCTTGACTTTAAAGACAGACACTAAGGTAAACCTAATGCCCTATCTTGTCACGAATAGGGTGAGAGTCACAGTAATAAAGTGACCTGTTATAGGTTAATACACTGATCAGACAACACTGAACCAGAAACTAGTCTCATTCCCTTTTAAATGTCCTCTTTTTTACCAAAAAGCTCCCTGAACACACAGTAGTTGTTTCATTTATTTATTTTTAAAGATTATTTTATTTTGTGTATATGAGTGTTTTGCTGTCATGTACATGTACGTGTACCATATGTGTGCATGGTTCCTGTGGAGACTAAAAGTGGGGGTCTGGTTCCCTGGACCTGGACTTATACATGGTTATAAGCGGCCTTGTGGTTACTGGGAACTAGACCTTAATCTTCTGCAAGAACATCAAGTAATCTTATCAGCTGCATCAACT